GAACAAAAGCTGTCATGAGATTTCACTTCAGAAATAATACATAGCCGTGCGCTTATGGAGGGAACAACGTTAAAGTACAATTAGGTAGCCCTTCCACTTATCACTTGTTTCAGATTTTTCAATTTCAGCTCAGAAATGTGTGGAAAGGTGGGAAGAGACGAAGCAGAAGCCTAGGACCAAAGAACAACTCAGGACAAAAGGATAAACCAGGAGACAGTACCAAAGAGAGTACGAAAAGAACACCAGCAAAAGATACAGGAAGACTTTGTTGCTCAGACAGGGTTGAACAAGAACAACATTTTTCCCTGTGTGAGGATCCAATGTCTAATCTGGGTATGCAGAGTCAGCCTAGGACTTTGAATTCAAAAAAACCCTTGACTTCAGTCCTCTTGTCATCCCGAAATGCTGTTTAGCAATAGCACTTAGACATATATATAGTTTCACGGTGCTTTATAGCCCTCTCCAAGCGGTTTACAGAGTCAGATATTGCCCCCAACAATTTGAGTCCTCATTTTACCCACTCGGAAGGATGGAAAGCTGAGTCAACCTTGAGCCTGGTGAGATTTGAACTGCCAAATTGCAGCTAGCCAGCAGTCAGCAGAAGTAGCTTGTAATACTGCACTCTAACCACTGCGCCACTGTGGTTCACGGTGTTCCTAGACATTTTTGTTCTTAGACATTAAGTAATGTAAGCCGATGCTTTTCAAAAAGCCATTGTCTACAACTTCAGGACTATATTTTCAAATACTGTTGATGTCAGTGTAGGCCACAACCAGAAGTCCTTCCTCCCTGCTATTAACTCATAATTATGATATGAGATAAACTAACCACAATTTAAAAAAAATGCTTATCACAATTCATCTAGGTTCCTGCCTACTGCATACATTCTATCTTCCTCCACCTTTATAAAGATATGGTATGCTGAGTTAATAGATGGATCCCCTATAATCATGATGGCGAACCTATGGCACGCGTCCCCAAGGTGGCACACAGAGCCATCTTTCTGGGCACGCGAGCTATCGCCTAATTCACCTTCAGCTGCGCATACACCCCAACTGGTGTTTGGGCTCCAGTGCACGCACGTGCAATTCAGGGGACCCAGCTGGTTTTTGAGCACTCCTGCGCATGCATGCATGTTTGCGTATGAGAGTACTTGCATGCAGCAAGTGCATGCATAAACAGCATTCATATGCATTCGCACGTGAAAATGGCATGCATGCGCAGATAGTGTAATTGCATGCACAGCGCATAGGGAGAGCTGCGCAAAACCTGCACGCATGCCCAGATGGTGCAATTGCACGTGCAGTGCATAGGGGGGAGCCACGCAAAAGCTGTGTGCATGCACAGATGGTGCAGTTGTGTGCACAGCCCACAGGGGAGGAGTCGCAGGTTATCGGCAAGAGCACATGCGTGTGAAACGCACGAAGCACTTACCTGTTCAGCACTTGGTGAGTAAAAAGTTCACCACCATTGGCCTATAAAATGTAGTCTTTGTAAGGGACTGGCTAACATGTTTCTCCTATGCCAGTGATGGCGAACCTTTTTCTCCTCGGGTGCCAATAGTGCACGCCCGTGCCCACATAATTCAATGCCCTACCCGTGCCCCGTTTTGGGCCTAGCAGACCTCCCTGAAGCTTCTGGAGGCCAGAAATGGCCTGTTTCCAGACTTCCGGTAGGCCCATTTTTTGCCCTCCCCAGGCTCCAGAGGCTTTCTTGGAGCCTGGGGAGTACAAAAAGGGCCTTCCCCGCTGCCCTGGAGGCCCTCCGGAGGCTGAAAACGCCCTCCCAGAGCCTCTGTGAGAGCCCTGTACTTACCTGGCATCCATAATGGGCTGTGTGGAGACTCCTGGGGAGGAGGGGCAGAGTGGGTGGGGCTGGCTGGCACGCACATGCGCGCTGGAGCTGAGCTAGGACAACGGTTCGCATGCCCACAAGTATGGCTCCGCATGCCACCTATAGCACGCGTGCCATAAATTCACCATCACGGTCCTATGCTATGATTCTTATTTCCACCATAGCCTTTCTAAAAGGCCAAAATAACATTTACATTAAATAGATCAAAGTTATTTAAAAGGAAAAATATCATATTAATTTATACTGAATAGACATACAGAAACAGTTTATAATTCTGTCATGGGAATGATCACACTGCTACCACAATCAGGAGCACATATATCAGATTAAAATTTAGGTTACTATTTCCCATAGAGAGCAAAGAGTGTGGACTTGAAGAAACATCTGAGTAGTTCTTACTCTAAAGCATACAGATATACCAGATAACTAGTGCAATTTTAGTATTAAGAACTAGACGAAAAGATTTATTAGTTCCAGTGAACACACTTCTGTTTTTCCTAGTAGTGAGTTATGATTTACCAAAACAAGAAGGCTCTCCTTGAAAGGTTTATTTGCATCCCCTTTGTTTTTTAGGACTCTACTATCATCTCTCCTAATCCTAGCCTTTTTTCTTTTCTCAAAGGCTCTGAACCAATTTATCCTCCAAAGGCCTAAAAACTATTTCTGAGCTCCAATGGCCCAAACTATTTTCTGTGACTCTTGTTTCAATTATTTGAGCTGTCTTATTTCTTTGTCTTCCTTATAAAGAATTGAAGGGTTTCCCCCCCATCAATCCCTGTTATAGCACCTTTCTTGATTTTCTTAAAAAACATTGTACCTCTCTTCTGAACTGAAGCATGGCCATGTCAGCCCTACAAGATAGACCAGATCAGGAAACCAACTTCATAGGAAGATTAGAGCTATATTTTATTGAGAAAGAGCATAGTACCAGAAACTTACAAGTCTGATTGTGCTTTACCTCTCTTTTCTTTTTACACCTCAATGAATCATGAGAGGCACCTTCCTAAGTCTCTTCCAAATACAATCTCGTTCATCAGAACTTAAGGAATGTTTCAGCCTCAAGGTCTTGATATTCTACAGGACATTTGTTTTCCAATAAGTTTGTGCTTTTTTTCAAGGATTGCTACAGTCTTCACAAGTTGTTCTCAAACAGGAGCACAAATTTGCCACAAACATTACAGGTCACAACTAAAAACTCTCTGCTTCTTAAAGTAGTAATAGTCATTGCTTATATTTTTTCTTGCTCCTTTTGCAGACTTGAAGTTAACTAAAAACAGGCTGAATTAGAAGGAAAATTGTTAAGGTTCTTCCTATTGAACTCAAAGGCAACTCCCATTTGCCCACTCCCTATTCACTTGCTCTACCAATACTATAATATTCCTAGACAGCAGTGCAACTGTTTCAGGGTATACAACTGTATATTGTTAACATCTGATTGAGAAGGCAGCTCAAAGACACAAGGCCTTGTAATAATGTTAATTACTCAAGTAGTTCTTTAAAGAACAGAAAACTCAAGAAAAGTCTCATCTTTTTAAGCATTAAAATTAAAATTAAATAATTTAAATTTAACAATTTTAATTTAAAAATGTAATAATTTTAATAATTAAATTTAACTAATTTCCTTTTAACTGCCTTTTCTGTTTTGAATGGAATTGTATTTCTTTCTATACTCAAAACACTACAACCCTATGAATCCTTCAAGGTAGCTCAGGTCAAGAAACAGTCTCTACAAGAACTAATGATATTCTACTTTATCATTATAGGATACAATAACAGAATCTTGAAAGCTGCCAGAATTTCCCTCTGTTCTCGTGCAGAATCAACGCAAAGCTATTTTAAGTTTCTTTTTAGGCAATATTTTCAATATTATTAAGGAATCATTTAAGCTGATGCAGAATTATGTCACCAATAGTTTATTTCCTATAAACTATGTGAAAAGTTGAGAGAATTTCAACAAAATGGTAGCTGCAGTTTTTACAATAGTAGAAACATACAATAGCCCTATTATATTTTAATATCTTCCAATGTAAAATGTAGCAGACTCTATAGCTGTTTTTAACAGTTTTAAAACTGACCTGTAGAATATACTATAAGTAAAAATATCCTAAAATGTCATTAAAATGAGCCATGGTGGTGCAGTGGTTAGAATGCAGCATTGCAGGTTAATTCTGCTGACTGTAGATTGCCAGCAGTTCAGCAGTTTCATTCTCACTGGCTTAAGGTTGACTCAGCCTTCCATCCTTTCAAGGTCGGTAAAATGAGGATCCAGATTGTTGGGGGCAATGTGCTGACTATATAAATCGCTTAAAGAGAGCTGTAAAGCACTGTGAAGCGGTCTATAAGTCTAAATACTATTGCTAAAAATAATTTTGCCTTTGAAATTTCTAAAAGTTATTTACCATTTTTTACTGACAAAGAGACAATCTTTTACTCCAGATATACAGGCTGCTAATAACAAACATGGCAGGGGATTGAAATGGTTGCAGGCATCACTGCTGAAAAGTATGGGTGCCTTTGAAGATTAGCCCTTTTCTGAAATTACTAAAGAGAACTTTTCTTCTCTGCTAATTATTTCTTCTTGCCTCATCTCTAGTTTTGTCCTTCCTGTCCTTCCCCATGTATATCTATTTTCTCTCTCACCTCATTCCGTTGTTTTCTTTTTTTGCTATTTCTGCTATGTTTGGGACATAATAGTTGATATGTGGGGAGAGGGGATCAGTTAATTTGATAAATGAAGTATTTAATTTTACATAGATTTTTAAAAGTTGTTGTTTTGTTGTATCTTTTGTTATTGTTGCTATTCTGCTCTGCCATTTTGGTGTGTGACTTCTGGCCAATAGCTGCTTGCCTGCCTATCAGCTGCTTACAGATACTGAAAAGAGAAAAGCTCTAGAACTGGTTTCAACTGAAGCTGGCAAACCTAGGGTGACAAGCTTGGAACTCCATGGGATTACTCTATATATTCTGCATTATCTTTGAAATGGGCACCTTTACATTTTGGCTCATCTTGCTATTGGGTCAATATGGTAAAATTTTCAGGAAGAAGTGTAGTAATCCATGAAATTAATATTTTGCATTTTTATCTACTTTTCAAGAAATACAAATATAACTGTCTATTTGCAGGCAGTTAAAGTCACAGCACTTACTAAGTCTCTGTGAAGCACCCAGTTTGCATGGAGATAATGGATTCCATCAAGAATCTGATAAAGTAGTGATTTGACCATAGATCTTGGCAGTTGCATGGGTTTTTTGTTTGCTTTTGAGGCACGGTGAAACTTGATAATATGCTGGAAACAAAAAAGAACACAAACATGAAAGCATCATGTAAAAAAAAAGCCACAAAATATTTGCAACAGATGAAAGTCTTTTAATTTTGAAATCTTAAATTGGAATTAAGTATGACCTTTTTATATCTAATATTAAAGAAACCGTAACATCACATTGTTTCCTCAGCTTTAAAGGTACATGGATTGAAACAGGGTTTTTTTTCCTACAGAGTTACTCTTCATTGACATTTTCATGAAATTATCTTATAGTTCTAAAATAATTTTAGGATAATTCCCCCCAACACCTTTAAAAAAAAACTTAAAGACTTAAAAAGCTCTGAAATATTTTATGGACTGCATCTGGAACAAATTTCAGAAATATGACAAATTTGCCTATTGGCTTTGCTTACCTTAGAGGTTGATAGTAAAGCAATACAGATTAGGAACCTTTTTGAACATTTATCAGTAATTGGAATAAGAAAGGAAATTGTCACTAAAGCAAAATGAAAACAGGAGCAATGAAGTCCGTTGGGCCCTAAATCCCTAAATTTTCCTTTGGTTCAGTCTTCTCAACCTGGTGCCCACTAGGAATGTTAGATGACAATTTCCAGGATTCCTATTCAGTGTGGTCTGAAAATTTGGGAAGGCTTCTAGGCTTTTGATTGATCCTGCATTCAAAATCCATTTCAAACACAGGGCACCCTTTTCAGGTCAAGAATGGGCCTGAACAGTAATGCATATTTTTTTCTAGATATTTAGAAAAAATGTTGGCAGCACATCAATACTAACAGAAAATTTGAATTGAAGATGATCCACACATTATAATATAGTAAATTAGAACAGTTTTTCCAGTATAAAAACTGAACTAGGAAACATTGGATAATAAGATGCAGTCTCTTCACTCTTCTGTACTCCTTTTCTTGTGAACTCCTATGTAGAAATATCTGGAACTTTTTCCAAAATGAAGTTTTCAAACTGGAAACAAGCCCAGCAACGCCTATTCTTCATTCCATCTCCAGCATAAAATCCCCCTTGAATAGGTCATTTTTAATTAAATTTAGTTTTATATCTGAGCAGATGTGCTAACCCATATCACTTAATCCTCTATATATGAGGATCAGATAAGATTCTATAAATTTATTTCAAATTCGAATAGATGGTTGGATTAGATGGTTCCATTAGAATAAAATATATGTAGCTCAAGGTTAAATGATATAGTTCTGGTGTTCTCTGAGCTTGGTTGTTTGTTTGCAGTGTGGCAGAATACCCCAAGATATACACACCTGACATATCACTTTGTCCATCTGTGTAATTACCAGGAATCCTAACAAGAAACACAGCCAAAAAATTTACAAAAGAGCTTGGACACCTCACAGAGGGGAGCAAACATTTTATCGACTCCCACACTACAGTGCCTTCAGAAAATGAAAGACCTAAAATAGAACATGACATGATGGTTTCATTCAATGCCCCAGCATTCTTTACATCCATAAATCCAGAAGCAGTGAAAGAATCTATGACAGAAGTATAACACAACACACCCAACCTAGCCAAATATACTAGGATTGAAATACCAGAATCATGGACCTCATCAACCTCTGCTTACTATTTACTTTCAGTTTGATGAACAAATATGCCAACAAATCTGAGAAACACCCATGGGATCACCACTATCAACATTTATAGCAGAGACCACAAATCAGTATCTAGACTCTAGACACTATTGCACTCCCAGATATAGCAAAACTATAGAATCTTCCTCATAATAAAAAAGAAAACACGTGAATTCGTCAACATATTCAAAGGAATAAAATTCACAAGGGAAGAAGAAACCAACAATACACTACCCATCTTGCATATCCACATTAACAGAGAAAATAGTAGCACATTGGAAATGCTACTGCCAAAACCCAACCCCACTAACCAAGTGTTGCATTACCAAAGTAACAGCTCAACCTCCCACAGGAGGACCTATATAACAATATTTCTCAGACAAGTACAAATGCACTGTAGCAATCCAGAGCACCAAAAAAATAAAACACAAAGTTTTATTGTTTATATCTGTGGATATGAAGTTCCACACAACTTTATATCCACAGAACTTTATAAAAATGTGCTTGACCACTCAACCCACTACTGCATAACCAACACAAACTATGAAAAAGATAACAGTACCACATATATCAAAAATTTCAGAAATAACCAACACTGTTACAACTACACAACATTATTATAGCACACAAAACAATCAAAGCTTTGCAAAACTTTTTAAATAAGCAAAAAGACCCAGTAACATGAGAAAAAAAGACATTTACAACATAGAGTGTAAAGACTGTAACAGTCATTATGTAGGTCAGATAGGTAGAAGATTAGCAGAGAGTATCCATGAGTACCAACTAGCAATCAGAAGACACAATCCCATAATTTCACATGGAATAGAGTCAACCATAATTTCAACTGGGAAATTATGAGCATCCTAGACCAAATTAAATCCAAAAACACAAGGGAATTTTGGGAAGCTTGGTATTCAAACAACTCGGCAATCAACAGACACATCGAAAAGTAGTAAATCATATTTATTCACCACTCAAGAGACAAAAAAAATGAAGAAGAAGATGATGATGATGAAGAGGAGGAGGAGGAGGAGGAAGAAGAAGGAAGAAAGGAAGAAAGAATACATCTTCTCCAGGAGCCATAACCCAGATAAGCAGGGATTAACACCAGGGAAACAATCAAGCAAAGCAGGACATAATATCAAGGAATTATCAAGGAGAAAACCACATCCCTACCAAAACTGGCAGGGCAAGCAATGTATATAAACAAGAATCAAACCCTGCACCCACTTGCATTGATGGTGTTACCTGCTTAGGTAGTGAAACATTTTCAGGCAAACAACCAAACTGAAAGAACATCAAGGATACCACAACTAGATGGTTACTATTCATGACAAATGTAATGCAGAACTTTATTAAAACTGTCAAGGAAAGGGATGGGAAAATGTATTTGAAAGTATGAATGGGTAATGAGAAGAAAAATGTCAATTTGGGGCTAATTTGCAAATTATGGTTAGCAAAAAGTCAGAATTACATTTGCACCAGATCTAAATAAACTCAGGGGGAAAGTGTGGCTTTCATACACCATCGAGATTTCAAGTACAAAATATCATTCTTAAGGACTGAAGTGAAGAACCACAAGTTATCCACAATATAGAGTCTTTATAGAAAAGGAATCCGAAAGACTCCAACCTATAACTTCCATAAAAGGAATGTTGAAAAGTAAAATTATTTCAATTATTGCTTACCACATAAATTGCTAATTCAATACATACAAAAGAGCTCTGTGGATTAATAATGAATTAAAGCCAAAACAAGTATTCTTTGTCTTGTTGACAGTTCAACAGAAAAACAAATGGCAGTACTGCAAATGCTCATTGCTCTTGCTTACTTTTTTTCTCCAATTAAATTGGTATGTAACCATAATAAAAGTAGGAAAAATCAATGCATAGCAACATCCTTTCAACAAATGAATATTTACCTAGCAAAAAGAATCCTTAAAATATTATTGATATAGATATCAAGAAATGAAGATAATGTTTGTCCCTAAAACAATTTCAGTATAATAAAATTGATGAATGTTACAAATGGTATAACATCAATTATCAAATGTTAAAGACTGCTATGTTTTTATTCAATATCTTCACCCACCAAATATGCCTTTGCTGTTTTGTCATTAGTCTTGCTCCCAATCTAAGAGACACAGTGGTGGTAGGCAATCAGCCCAAAGTTTATGCAACATTATAACTCTCTTCTCAGTTCCAAATTGGGAAGGGAAACTGGGGATGGCAGAGTTAATATGTGAAAGATACAAAGATGCTCTGATTTCTCAGTATATAACTAATTAAATTCCCAATTCTCCTACAGGAAAGGGTTTTCTGTAGAATGATAAATATCAATCCATCAATATTAATCACCACATAGGGAAATTATCTTTGGATGCAGAATTTGGTCCTACAAATTTTGAGTTAGGTTCATCCTGACAATAAATTAGTTAACATTATATTATAAGAGGAAAAATATGAAATGAGAAATTATGCCTGTTCCAAGGCAAATCAATGACTTCTGATGACTTGTTCAAGATTTAAATTGGGGTCTACTGCCCCCCAACCTTTACCAGCTATACCATGCTGGCTCTCAGTATCAAGTATAAAAAAAATAATCACCCTAGACTATCATGTTCGAGAATGTTATGGTGTTAATAAAAGAAATATGTTCCTAAGCATGTGGATTTCAACAGTGGTATTTTTTTTATTATTTTTTTTATTTTTATTTTTTTGAAGGAGGAGAGCTTTACATACGTTGACTGGGAAGCTGTTCCAAGTGTAAGAGGCAGCATGGAAAGAGACAAAGTTGGGAGTGAGCAAAAAAGACAATGGGGAAATATGGAGTGATGCTTAGGATAACTGAGAGGAGGAGTTATTCAGACCATGAGGAATATTAATTTGGGCCATCATCATCAAATGTCAGAAAATAACATTAAACAGTTTTCAACTCTGTACAGCAAGAAAAAAAATTGCATAGGTTCAAAATCCGGCAGTTATCTCTAGGACAACATTTTCTTCATATTTCATTTTGCTTCACTAGCCCTAAGTTATCATTTTTTTAAAAAAAAAATCTTGCTCACAGAGGTGCATGATTACTCAATGTTAAACCAGTATGACTGCTTTCTACACTTTATTGAAAGAGGTGGAGGGGGAGAGAGAGAGAGAGAGAGAGAGAGAGAGAGAGAGAGAGAGAGAAATCTGTTTGGAGGGTAATAATGTTGCTGACTTCTAGGTTTCAAGAGATGATTAATTGTTCCTGTGCAAAAACAAAAGAACAAGAAAAGTTGCACTAGAGAAAGTGAAGGGTTGTGGAAATGACCAATTTATATTTACTCCATTGAATGAGAGCACTTAATATACAACATTCCAAGAATCAAATAGGCAAGGTCAATCATGTGGCTACTTCTCAGCCAAGTGGGAGAAAAACATTTGAGTGGGAACAGCATATGTCCTGTTCATCTGGTTTGTGTTGTATAGCAACTAAAATTGCATGGGAACATACCATGCAGGAAGTGGCTCCCTGAACAATGCAGGTAAATGTGAAGTGGTCATTAATCTAACAATTGGATGGGAATATATATATAACTTTTTAATGAGTTCCATGCTTTGTTTCAAGAACACTAAAAAGTGAACAGGAAAAAAAACATTCACAGTACAAACACATGCAAATATTGGCAGCATTTATATGAAATGATACAGCCTAGGAATTTGTGATAATGATGTATTGCATGTATTGAGACACTGGAAGCTAAGGAGCACATTAGGAAGAATGTACACTTTGCATTATGACTTTACAACAGACTATCAACAAGGAAGAGTGCCCCTTCAAAACTATTGTTAGATGGTTCTTTTTCAAACAAAACATGCAGTATTCAGGTGGCAAGAACTGCAAACTGGATTATTAAACATGCTTCCTATTATAGCAGCAATACATTCTTCTGCAGTTGCTTTTAAAAGCAAACAACTGAAACACAGAGATAAAGTTTTGTGCACGTGAAATGAAGCTGTTCATAGTGAGACTATGGCACTTTTGAGCTATGAAGTGTACATTTACTCTTGGTGTAATTAACTTTGATGGAGAAAGCTTCCAGAGTGGGTGCAGGTTAGTAAAACTACAAGAACAAGACTCTCCAATTAAATTATATGGCGCGTGCAACAGCATGAAATCTCATGACTTTATATTATTGTGATCCAAGTTTCTCTTTGGTTGGAACAGTTTATACACGTAATTTTCTTGACAGTAAACTATTACTCATGGGTTTCATAATGAGTTTTCATCATACCGTTTAAGCAATACAGTAATTTGTCTCTAGCAAATCTAACTTTCATGTTAATTTAATATTCATTAAGTATAGCTTGAACTGATCCGGCAAAAAGAGAAAAGGAATATTTCCCCATGAAACCTATCACAACATGCTGCAAAAGGCAAATATTTCATTTCATATTAAGTGTAATACTTCAAAAACATTACACTAATTGCACATATAAAATCCTAGCTTACAGTCGAGATCTGAATTAGTTCTTTCTTATATTGATCTTCAAGCCCATCTTTAAGTTATACTGCAGCTGCCAGCATGTAGTGCAGAGCTTTCAAAACCTTTAATTCTAAAGCACTTTGAGACCAAACTGGAAGATAAATGGGAAATCTGCCTAACATTTTGGTTTCTTCATAAAAGCAGCCACTGGGCTTCTCAAACTGGATTGCAGATCAGATGTATTGGAGTGAGAGACAATGTCAGTTTCTCCCTCAGCTGGAAATGTGCTCCTCTGAGGAAAAATACAGGAAAACCTAGTCACATGGGAAACTTTTAAATAGAAGGAAAAATTAATTGTTTATAACTGCTATCTAAAAGATCTAAATATCACTTCCTGTGGCAAAAAGTCCTGACATAGTTTACAAGTCCACTATAAACAATCCACTGGAAAAGAAATGTCAGTAGCTGGGAGAAATTGGTGCCTGGGAAAGGCTAGCACCAAAAGTTTAAATTTTACAAGAGATCTAAATGATATATATATGTTGGAGTCTTGAATGTGTACGCCAGTTCAAATGAAGAAAATTAGAGGAATTACTAAATGTAAATTTCTTTCATTTAATTCTGATAGCTAAAATAAATTCCTGATATCACTGTAATTAAAATCTGAATGTATGTGTGTATTTTTCCCCCATCAGACAAAATAAAACTTGTCTAGTCCTGTTCTAGACACACACAGATCTAGACACACACAGTTCTAATCTCTGAGCATATATAATATTAGCTCTCATTAATTAGCTCTCTCTTATAACTTTGGAAAACTATAAGCTCAATGATATAATGATACACTAAAACTCTTAATAACTGCGTTATGGAAAGAAATGACATATTTGATTTCCAAAATATTTTTTTTAGAAAAAATGACATTGATCTTTGGCAAGGAAAACAGAAAACACTTAAGCTTTTTTCACTCTTAAATCCTGTGGGAAAATGAAATTGAGAACAGTTCTGGTGCCATACTGCTATAACTTCTGGATAGTTATGTATCTCAAAATGGCATTAGGGCCTCCTCCAAAATGCCTCTACCTGTTTCTCCTTGTTTTTTGTAGCCAATCATGGTTTTAAGATAGTGTAAGGCTTTCAGTATATGAACTCCAAATCATATCATACACAGAATGCACAATTAAGCCTCTAAAGATACTTAAATAAATGCAGAGCAATCTCAACTTCTCAGGAAAGGCTAGCAGGGAGTTTTTCAGTTTATGTTATTTAAAAAAAAATCCTGAAAACATTTCTGCAACTTCAAAGACTACCTGATTATATCTCACAATGAAACTTTTCCATACAGATACATGGATTTCTTGGTGGTTCTTCTTTCCTAACATGCTTTGTGTAGCTATATAGGTAAGATACCACGTGAGATTGGGCAAAGGTTTCAAATCCATTCTAATTGCAGTTACTTCTTTTAAAACATAACATAATTATAGTAAAAAGAAAAAAAGGAATTTCAGAACTTACCCACAAATCATGTTCAGCATAATCAAACAGCAGCCACACCTTTCTATCACTATGAGAAAGGAAAACCTTCTGTAATGCAATCACATTAGGGTGCTTCAGTTCTCTCAAAAGCTGCAAGTAAAGAGAGAAATAACATAAATCTTTCTATATAGTACCAATAAACAAAACGCTTTAATTAGCGAAAGAGATGTCCATAAAATTATTCTTTTTCATTCCAACAACTCTGGAATAATCTGTGCACAAAAGGGGGAAAGTAAAAAGCTTGTTTTTCCATTTAGTAGAAAACAATATTTTAAAAAAGTCAATTGCTTATTTGGGTGGAAGTTTTGCTCCCTGTGCAAGAAACATCCAGACCAATTTTATTCAGGAAATGCTCCCACTGATATAAGGAAAACTAGGGTCCTTGGTTTATCAAAAGCCTTCCATGGAAGAACTGTTTAATAGATAACTAAACAGAACAACATACCGAGATCCATCAATATTTACCTACATTACCTATGGGAATAAGAGAAATATGGAATCTTTGTTGCTCTTATTCTCCCATTCCTATTTCCTTTCTAAATGTACCGTATTTTTCGGACTATAAGATGCACAGGTGTATAAGATGCACCAAGATTTCGAAGAGGTAAGCAATAAAAAAAAAGTTTTTGCCATCCCCGGCCCCCAGGAGCACTCTGCAGGCCTCCCAAACCCTCTGCACATCCCATTTTTCGCAAAAACTGGGCGTGCAGAGGGTTTGGGAGGCCTGCAGAATGCTCCTGGGGGTTGAAAAGGGCAAAAATGAGATGCGTGGGGGGTTTGGGAGGCCAAAAATGGGCCCATTTTTTGCAAAAACAGGGGAATTTTTGCCCTTCCCAGCCCCCAGGAGCACCCCATTTTTGCATAAAACGGGCCCGTTTTTCACAAAAACGGAATCTGCGGGGCAGGGCTTCAGGAGGCCAAAAATGGCTGTATTCGGTTTATAAGACGCACCAACATTTCCACCCTCTTTTGGGGGGGGGAAGTTCGTCTTACACCCTGAAAAGTACGGTATGTTCAGTAGTGTAGGATTATAAAAACTCTTACTCATCACTTGGTCATTTTCACACAAGTTCATGTAAAGGAGTTATGAAAAACTGTACTGCTTTAACATTTACATGTATCTAATATTTAAAATATATTGTATCAAATATATATAATGCTTGGGGCAACAAGCTACGCTCTACCCAAAGTTATGATGAGATTCAAGTGGCTAGGGCAAGAAATAGGATAGTCTTTTCAATAGCTTCCAGTTCAGACTGAGTTATATGAGTTTGCCTTTTTGAATATTCTATGGATAGAGACATGAGAAAGTGGTTATAGGCTAAATAGTGAGATAGGCGGCGTATTTTTCCTGCTGTGTTGCTTTCCCCAAGCCTTGAGATTTGATTGGGGAGGGGGATAAAATGCATATAGGGAGGGATTATAAACCAAAATTACAGATGTTAAATAAATCATCGCAGTTTTAAGTGAATCTGGCTTCTCCCATTGACTTTGTTTGTCAGAAACCATCTGGGAAAATTACAAATGGTGATCACATTACCCTGTGATAATGCAACTGTCATAAATATATGTCAGTTGTCAAGTATGCAAATTTTGACCACATGACCATGGGGATATTACATTGCTTGTAAGCATGTAAACCAGTCATAAGTCACTTTTTTTAGTGCCATTGTAATTTGAAACAGTCGCTAAACAAATGCAAGTCGAGGGCTATTTGTATATAATTTTATTACAGTAAATCAATCTAGGTTTCTTAACTGAAATGTGAAAGATTTTTTTATATGTACAACTTTCATAAATCATTCAGACATTTTATTGTTCAAGAAATATCCTGTGTTGGTTTATATTTTGTATTTTCTTCCTTTCAGTAGAAATGAGCATGAAAATTGAAGTAATATTTCAACATAAAATGTAAAACCATCTCCAGAATGTTTTTTTCAGGTTTCAGACTATATCACTATAACCAAGCTTTAAATATTTGGAATGCCAAATGAACAAATTAAATAAGCAGTCTGTTTTTTGCTCCACTGATTATTAAGAACACAGTATTATAAACATTTGATAAAGTATATGCATGTCATTAAAATAATGTAAATTAGTCTTACAAAATTGTCCTCTGTAGTTAAAAAGAAGTCAAGTGTGAACTTCAAAAAGATTACTTTTTAAGCTGGTCATTTCACAATAATTTGCTGTTTCTTTTATTAATTTACCATTTAAAGCAAGTAATTGATAAACATTTTGAAGTGCAACCCTTGATTAAATTAATGCACTAAAAGGATTTTGAATCACTTCAATACATGAATCTTCTAAAATTATCAAATGCTAAACAAACTGCAAAATTAATATCTTATATATTGGGTATGCCATTATGAGTATTTCCATAATCTTTGGGTGTAAACCATTGAGGCTATCTTTGTAACAGAATCTACACATAATTTACAATAAAAATTTAAATATATTGCTCTGAAAGTTCATGAATAATTTGCAATAACAAAAAATACAGCAGTGAAGCAGCAGATTCTCATATAAAAGAAAACAATAGAAAGAGAATAAATCTTTGTCATAGAAGTATTAAAAAGCTCAAAGTTTTATCTATTTGACATAAATAAATTTGTAGTTGATTAATAGGCAGAAGCTATTTTTAAATCAGAGAAACTAAAAGCGTTTTGCTTTTTAGGTTATTGATTTTGCTGGGGTATTAAAAAGGAGTGAAAACCAAAAATTAAATATAGATCCTCTTTGAATATACCAATTATACCAATTATCTGATTTCTTTCATTACCTACAAAATTGAAATACAGAAATGTCTGCATATTAAGTAGATTATTATATTGATCACCTATTGCTTTTCTTTTATGGCCTTGTTTAAACCCAGTAAGTAACCCTTCCTCTACAACATCTGCTTGTGGGACTCTCCTGTTGGCTTCGATCTTACTATGCTACTCACCAAGTCACATAACATAGTGCAAAAGAAAAAAAGAAAAGAAAAGAAAAAAAAATGAACTGCTGCAAGCCAGTCTCCGTCCATTTCACCTAGGCAACTCTTAGAAGCAAAATCCAGATGATATTACAGAGTCTGGGGAGGAAAAGCCTGTGCCACCTGCCAAGTCAACTTAATGACACAGAGAAGGAGAATGATTTTGCACAATTTTAACAGCAGCAAAACTTGGAGAGGGATAATCTGGGAAGCAACTTTGCTAACTTACTCTCTTGGAAAATGGAAATACAATACATAGCTTTTAAGATTTGTAAAAATGTAGTTAAAATGTACCTAGTAATGGATGCAGCTTCTAAAAACCTAATTTCTAGGTGTCTAAAGAGTGAAACAATTCATCCCAAAATCATATACTTTTTCTACAGCTTTGTTTTTGAGATTATTGGAAATACAAGGCTATTTTGTAAAACCACTAATTACTGCCATTCTTTTCTAAAAAAAACTTGGGTGCTAAGGATGCTAAGTTATGCAGTTGCATATCTAGCTGTCAAACTGGAATTTCAATGAGTATCAGAATTAATAAGACAAATTGTCTTACCGATTAAGAATAGCTATCCCTTGCCAAGAGGAGCAAACAATATTTAGGATTTGAAACTCACAGACTATATAATAAAAAAATTGTTTATATTTTTTTGTGTATTGTTTTTGAGAGAGGCCTCTTTTGGCCACAATTGCTCATGTCACGTAACACCCTCATTTGGTAATAAGCATTTTGAAAAGCAATTGTTCTATAAATAATTTCACTTCTGAAAATGTTCTGGCACTGCTAAACAGCATTCTTCTTAAACAAAAGCATTGCAAGTGATTTTTTAAAAGGATTATACTATGCCTAAAATAAAGGAAATAAAACAATTAGCATTGTGTCTTTTATCCTATGGAGTTTCAGAAAGATTAGAAATACGTTTCTAACAACTTCTTCTGATAGATGAATGGATGATGCAGTTATATATCATATCCCAACTGACGCATTTCTAGTCCAAAGATTAAATACATCATGTATTCCTAGAGTAACACTTGTAGGAGAGATGGGCAGCGTAAATATTTAATAAATAAATAAAATCAACATCTGCTTGTTGCTAAATCGAACCCATGTATTTGGATGCACATACCAGGTAAAATAATAGTGAACTTGTGTGAAAGTTTAAGGGAGTAAGAATTATTAAGCAACAATTCACATTCATACATTTTTCTACTCTAGTTGAAACTCTACTCTACCCTACAAAAGTTAATGGCCAAAAGTTATGCTTTCTCAACAAGAGATGAATTATTTTATCTGATATGGAACTACCATAGAATATGTCCTGTTTAGGAGGGCATTTCAGGGGGGACTTGCCCCCTTTTGACAAAATAAAATAACCATTCCCAAACACCAAGGAACACTAAGTTTAGGTTTTAATTCTTTACCCATAAATTCTTTATGACCAAAGATTATCCATTAGTGGAGAAGGTCTCACTGAATCTAGAAACTATGCTGTGTTATACTGTGCCTTCTATTAGGATATAAGGCCCATTTCAAAACTCCCAAATTGGTGAAGTATTCAGGCAATTCTGATTTGAGGTATTTGACAGTTATTTCAGACCAATATAATGCATTGCCTTGAATATGGAAAAAATTGTTACATTATTTGCAAAACTCAAAACTTCCTGATCATCTTGACGACATCTTGATATTATGTTTTCATTTTATTTTACCTGAAAGAGAAATCGTTTACTTACTTTCTTATCTTTCAGAATTCAGGTCAGGGACCCTAATAAAGACCTTCTACCAGTCTCAGCATATGTTACAATTCTCACTAAAAGTTAAAATAACCAACTTTTTAAATATTTGAAGAAAATTAAAGCAGAAGAGTCAGTCATCTTGGTATAGTAGTTAAGATAACATCTTAAAAACCAGGAAACTAAGAATTCTGGTCTTGTCTTAGGCATGAAGCCAGCTGGGTAATATTGGGTCAGTCATTCTCTCCACCTTAGGAAGAAAGCAATGGCAAACCACTTGTGAAATCTTGCCAAGAAAACTGCACTGACTAGTCCCGCAGTCATCAGGAATCAACAGTAGCCTGAATACACACACACACACATACTATTTTAGGATTCC